CATGTACTTGCATGTAAGATAACTAAATTCAAAACGTATAGTGAATGGGGACTAGCAGATGGCAAGGTGGCTGAGGTGTTGGACTCAAAGATGGCCAACTGCAGTTTGAGTCCCAGACCCAGCAACTTGCTTTCTCACTTTCTCTCTCTCTGATATGTGCACGTATCCTATAGCAAAATTTTTAAAGTAAATAATACTAAATAGAATTAAATAATTCTTTTTTTAAAAAAAGTATAATGAATGGGTAGAATCTGTCTGTAACTCATGGAAGAAATAAGTAAATAAACTTTCAAAAACTAAACAAAATGATGACCCTGCTCTTGTGACTATTTATTCCAATATATTTAGTTTAGGAAAGCAGGGAAAATGTATTGTATTTTTAAGAGATCCACAGTAAGCAGAAGAAGAGAAAGACTAAAATCAATGAAGCTTAAAACAGGAAATTAATAGAAAAAATCATGAACCCAAAAACGGGTTCCTTAAAAAGATCAATAAAATTGATAAATCTCTAGCTCAGGCTACCAACAAAAGGAGAAAAACAAGCCTCTAATAATAAAAAATGAAAGTGGGGTTATCACCACTGCTCCCATTGACATTAAAGAATCATAAAGGAATATTACAAATAACTCAAGCTTACAAACTTGAGAACTTGCTTATATTGGGCCATTTCCTTGAAAGCTATATCTACCAAAATATGTACAAGGAGAAAGTATATTATCTGAATAGGCATTTCTCTTTTAAAGGAACTTAATAATTAATAAACATCCAAACAGAAAGCACCAAGATCAGATTTTTTTCACTAATGAATTCTAGCAAATATTTAAAGAAATTTCTTTGTATCATTTTGTATCATATTGATTACAACATGAAATATTTTGTAGTAAACAAAGCACTTCCGAACTTACCAAATGTTAGGGTGATGCTTGTTTTACCACTGATACTGAAACAATGAAAAGATAGCCCACATTGGGAGAAAATATTTGCAAAGCACATATGTGATAAAGAATTTATAGGGGCCAGCAGGTGGCAAGGTAGTTGAGGCACTGGACTCATGATCGACCATGGTTCGACTCCCAGACCTGGCAACTTGCTTTCTTACTCCTTGACCCCCTCTGTCTCTGGTCAGATTAAAAAATAAAAATAACAATTAAAAATTTTTAATCCGTAAAAAATCATTTAAAAAAGGATTTATATCCAAAATATGCAAAAACTTAAAATTTAAGCAATAAGAAAACAACTTAATTGGGCCAGCAGGTAGTGTGGTGGTAAAGGGCGCTGGACTCCCACATGGCTGTCCATGGTTCGAATCCTAGACCTAGCGGCTTGCCTTCTCACTTTCTCTCTCTCTCTTTCTCTCTGGCTCTGTCCCTCTCTTGTCAAATTAAAATAAATAAAATGAATAAAGTTAAATAAGATAATTCTTTAAAAAAAAAAAAAAAGAAAACAGCTTAATTTAAAAGTGGCTAAAAAAATCTGAATAGAGACCAACAGATGGTATAATGGTCATGCCACTGGATTCCCACATCGTCAAATGCAGTTTGAGTCCTGGACCCAGCAGCTTGAATCTCATGCCAGGTGCATGCATGTGCATGCCCAAAAACCCAAGAGGAGAATGGAGGAGAAGGGATTGTGTTGTGGCCATCCCCCTAGGGAATGATTTCTTGCTTTCTGTCTCTCTCTCCTCTCTGGTAAGCACGTGCACACTATAGCAAAAAAAAAAAAAGTCCGAGTAGACACCTCACCAAAAGTAGATAGCAAACCGGGGACCAGTAGTTGGCATAATGGCTGCATTGCTGGACGCCCATGTAGTCGATCACAGTTAGAGTCCCAGACCTGGTGGCTTAAACTCACACTGGCGTGTGTGCCTAAGATCCTGAGAAGAGAATGGAGGAGAAGGGATTGCAGTGTGGCCATCCCCCTGAGGGGTGATTTCTTGCTTTCTATCTCTCTGTCTGTCTGTCTCTGTCTGGCAAGAACAACAACAGAAAACCCTAAAAAAAAAAAAAAAGTAGATAGCAAATCAGCATATAAAAAGTGTTTAACGTCATAAATCATTAGGGTATTATAACTTAAAACAATTAGATAGTATTATATAAACCTAGTGGAATGGCTAAAACCCAAGATACTTAGAGCACTAAATATAAGCGAGTATGTGGAACAACACAGACTCCCATTCATTGCTGATACAGAATGCAAAAATGATAAAGCCACTTTCTAAGACAGTTTGATAGTTTCTTATAAAGGCCAAACATAAGTTTATCATATGATCCAGCAGTTACGCTCCTAGGTCTTTATATGAATTAGTTGAAAATTTATGTCTCACAAAATCCACATACAGGGTTTTTTTTGTTTTGGTTTTTGGTTTTTTTTTTTTTTTTTTTTTTTTAGAGATTTTTGCTATAGAGCTTGTGTTCTTGCTGGAGAGACAGAAAGCAAGAAATAGCCCCTCAGAGGGGATGGCAACACTGCAGTCCCTTCTCCCCCATTCTCCTCTCAGGATTTTGGACACACAGACACACCATGAGCCTTAAGCCACTGAGTCTGGGGCCTGAACCATAGTTGTCCATGTGGGAGTCCAGTACCTTAATCACTACACCTGCTAATGAATTTTTATAGCAACTTTATGTTTTATTGCTGGAGAGTGTGTGCACTCTGAAGAGGAGAAGAGAGAGAGAAAATACCACCTTCTAACCCCCAGGTTGGGCTTGTTAACAGCACAATCCCATTTCCTCCATTTCTCTATACTGTTGGGATTTGGGACGGGCACTGCCCATACATGCACCTGACATGTTTTTCAAGCTACCACAGATGGAACCTGAATCATGGTCCACCATTTATGATATGACTCCGTAATCATTAGTCTGTAGGGTCAGCCCAGCAGCTTATTTCACAATTACCAAAATTTGGAAGCAACCAAGATGTCTTTGATAGGTAAATGGATAAGCAACGTATAGTATATTTCATACACTATGGAATGCTTTCCAGTTATAAAAGGAAATGAAATATTAACCCACAGAAGACATGAAGGAACCTTAAATGCACATTGCTAAGTGAAAGAAGCCAGTCTAAAAAGGCTATTCACTACAAGCATTCCTCACTTAACAACTGAGTTCTGTTCCTATAATTAGGTCATTAAGCAAATTGATCTGTAAGCTAGGAGCTTGGTAGATGTCTTACTATATGTCATGGCACAATAGAGTATGTATTTCTCACCAGATATCACACACCACCACACAAGAATAATATAATTCTATCTAGGTAAAAAGCATACATTAAGGGTCAGCAAATGGCATAATGTTTAAGGCACTAGACTCCCACATGGCCAACTGCAATTCGAATCTTTGACATTTTCAGCAGCTTGAAAATCATGCCAAATACATATGTGTGCCTCTCCAAAATTCCAAGAGATGCGATTGAGGTGTGGCCATTCACCCTGGAGGATGAACTCTCACTTTCCCTCTTTCTGTCTTTCTCTCTCTCTCCACTGAGTGCATGTGCCCTATGGCAAAAACCTTTAAAAAAAAAAGCATACATTAGATAAGTGTCAGAAAGCAACAAGACATACCAAAATGCAATAATACAAATCTGGTGCAATCATATTTATTTATTTATTTTTATTTTGCTATTGGGTGTGTTGCACTCACCAGAGGGAGAAAGGGAAAGTGAAAAATCATCCTCACAGGGGACCAGTAGATGACATAATGGTTATGTCACTGGACACTCATGTAGTCGATCGTGATTCAAATCCAGGACCAGGCAGCTTAAACTCACGTTGGGCATGTGTGTGTATGTGTTTATGCCCAAGATCCCAAGAGGAGAATGGAGGAAAAGGGATTGCAGCGTGGCCTTTCCCCCCCCGGGAGAGGAGGTGATTTCTTGCTTTCTGTCTCTTTCTGTTGATCACATGCACCCTATAGCAAAAAACACCCCTCTCTTTAAAAAAAAAAAAAAAATCATTCCCTCAGGAGGATGGCCACACCACAGTCCCTTCTCTTTCATTCTCTTCTTGGGATTTTGGATGCACACACCACACACACACTGCCCGTAGAGATTTTCAGGCTGCCAGGTCCAAGATCCCTGGTCCAGGACTCAAATCGTGGAGTCAGCCATGTGGGACCCAGCTGCCTTAACCTCTACACCTCCTGCTGGTCCTATAATCATTTTTATTTGTTCTGAATACTACTATGGGTACATAGTAAAGTACAAATTTATATATAAAGTATGTAGTCTTGTGTGATTGCAAACACCTTGCATAGTGAATTCTAACTGACTATAGGGTGAGACAAAGACTGAAAAAGAGGCAGTTGAATTACACAATGAGACCATGTCAGAAATACCTCTCTCTCTCTTTCTCTTTCCTTCTCTCTCTCCTACACACATCTATCCATATATATAATCAAAATTATCACCGATATATTATTAATTTTTTCTTTTATTTCCTTTAATGCAAAAACTTTTTTTCAATGTTTTTGCCATAAGGCATGTGCATTCACTTGGGAGATACAAAGAGAGGGAAAATGAGAAGTCACCTGCCCCTGAGGGTGATGGCCACTCCTCAGTCCCTTCTCTCTAGATTTTGGCATGCACACATATGGACCTTGCATGATTCTCAAGTATCAGGTCCAGGGCTCAAACTGTGGTTGGCCAGGTGGGAGTCCAGTGCCTTAACTACCATATCACCTGCTGGTCCCACATTACTGATCTTTTAAAAAGTTTATTTATTTATTTATTCCATGAAAGAGAAATAGAGATACAGGTACTCCCACCAGGGTTTTCACTCTATAGTCTATCTCCAGTCTCAGCCAACCTAGATAGTGGGCACTTCTGTGAATGTTTGGTATATTCTGAAAGGTCTCAGGGCACGAACCTAGGACTTAGACTTTACTGATTTAATTACATGTTGATTAAATATATAATTAAAGCCTTTCTGGTAATATTTAATAAAATACTAAAAGAAAGATAGAAATGATGACAGTGTTTCTAAATTTCTTTTCTTTTAGGTCCACCTCATTCGTTTAACCGAGATGAAACAATAATCATTGCTTTGGCATCGGTCTCTGTATTAGCTGTTTTGATAGTTGCCTTATGCTTTGGATACAGAATGTTGACAGGTAAAAAAAGCCATTTTTTGTGCTGTCTTTATTAAACATGTCTTTTAATAATGCCTTTTAAATCTCTATGTTAAATTCTTTTAAAAAATAATTATCCACTTTATTTATTATTATTATTATTTTATTTCACTAGAGAGAGGCAGAGAAAGAGAGAAAGGGAAAGTGAGAAAGCAAACCTCTAGGTCTGGGTCTTGAACTGTGGTCAACCATGTGAGAGTCCAGTGCCCTTAACCACGATGCCACTTGCTGGCCCTTCTCTATGTTAAATTCTAAAAATATAAAACAGGGAACCAGCAGTTAGTGTAATGGCTATGTCACTGGACTCCCACGTAATCGACCGCGGTTCGTGTCCCGGACCCAGTGGCTTAAAACTCAGTCGGGCGCCTGTGCGTGCGTGCCCAAGATCCCGAGAGAAGAATGGAGGAGAAGAGATTGCGGCCTGACCATCCCCCCTGGGGGGGTGATTTCTCGCTTTCTTTCTCTATGTCTCTCTCTGTCTGGCGAGCGCACGCGCCCTATAATGAAAATCTCTCCCCCCCCCCAAAAAAAAATTATATATATGAAAAACAAAGAAACTCCTCTGTTCCTATCCTCCTGTCTAAAACTTTTTCTCCGGTTTTTATGAAAAGTTTAATTCTACACAAAATACCTATCGCCCAGCCATAATAGTTACCATATGGGTTATATAATTTTGTCTAAATCCTCAGTTACTACCCATTTCCATGCCACTGTCTTTCTTTGAAATAAGAGGGGGAAAAAAAAAGAGTACCTGTCAAAGACATAATTAACAAATGGTATTATTTCTGTAGCATAAAGATGTTAAAAAATACCTGAGCAGGGACCAGCAGGTGGCATAATGGCTATGTCGCTGGGCTCCCATGTAGTCGACCGCGGTTTGAGTCCTGGACCCGGCGACTTAAAGTCAGGCCAGGCGCGTGTGCATGCATGCTCAAGATCCCTAGAGGAGAATGGAGAAGGGATTGCAGCATGGCAGTCCTCCCTGGGGGGTGATTTCTCACTTTCTGTCTCTCTGTCTCTCTCTCCCTTTCTCTCTCTCAAAAAAAAAAAAAAATACATAAGCATATTACCATTTCACATCTGAAAAAAAAGCAGTAATTTCCTAATATCATCAGATGTCCTGTTGGTTCTAATAAACTTTAATTTTGATGGGCAACTATTGAGGAAATCAATACTCATCGATTCATTTAAAGAACTTTAATAATAATCTTCTTTAAAGTTTTTGCACTATTTCTTTGGGTTTAAGCTTTTAAACTAAATCATGATAGAAGCATATTTTAGAATTTAGCTTTTTTTAATGCTATTCATTATTCATCTTCATTTATAGATAATTTCTAGTTCAGTAAGTAGTTTTATTCCCATTAACACTAGGTGTAGGTATTGCTACCAACCCTTCTGCAGCACTACTTTTTAACTGTAATATAATAGCTAATAAAGATCATCATTGTAAGAAAACCACATATTAGCTTTTCTTTTTTTTTTTTTTTTGATCTAATAGGAGACCGCAAACAGGGTCTTCACAGTATGAACATGATGGAGGCAGCAACATCCGAGCCCTCTCTTGACCTAGATAATCTGAAGCTCTTGGAGGTAAGTTCTTAGAGTATGCACCATTTTTTCTACTCATATCTGTGACAGGAACTTCTTTCAATCCTTAAGCCATTTATTTATTTAACCCACATTTATTGAGATTCAATTATGTACCAAAGCTTATTCTAGGTACTGAGAACGTAGGTAAACTATACAAATATCTCTCTTGGGGGTTATATTCTAGTAGGGAGCATCCACAAACAGGTAAACAAATGAATGTATAATATAGTTTCAAGTAACTAATACATGCCATGAAGAAAAGTAAAAGAGATAAGGAGATAAAGTGATAGAAAAGGGGATATTAAAGAAAGTTATTTAAGGGTGTAGTGGTTAAGGTACTGGACTCCCCATGGCCAACTGCAGTTCAAGTCCTGGATCCGGTGGCTTAAAACTCACACTGGGTGCATGTGTGTGTGTGTGTGCTCAAAAATCTCTAGAGGAGAATGGAGAAGAAGCAATTGTGGTGTGGCCATCCTCCCAAGGGGGTGATTTCTTACTTCCTATCTTTCTGGCAAGTACATGTGCCCTATAGCAAAACAATCTCTCTCTCTCTCTCTCTCAAAAAAAAAAGTATATTTAAAAATGGATGTTCTATGAATACAGATTCAGAGTATGGAAATAAGGAAATGAAATTCTGAGAAGAGTGTGCCAACAAGGAATCTGTAGTAGATTCCAAATAAATACTCCTTGTTTGTGCATCTGTTACATATTTTTCTAGGTACATATTGCTTTATATGTTTCATAGATTTTAGTTTATTTGATGCTATCTCAGAAGCTGTGCTGTGAAAGTCTTACCATGATAAATGTTTTCATTCTTTATTACAGGTGACTTGATAACTGTTACCCTGAAACCAGAGAATATTAATAGATATAGGTTTGACTATATGAAACATTTTGAAAACTTTGTTTTGAGAGAAAAATACAATAAAGTTAAAAGCAAATTTGAAAAAAATATTTCAACATACAAGGAAAGAATTGATTAAAAAAAAGAATCCATAAAAAATAGACAAAAGAAATGTACTGCCAATTCACCAAAAATAGTCACTAATAATTGTACAATTTAATGCCCAATTTACTAGATTGAAATAAATACTAATTTAGACATGAAATTTTATCTAGTATCAAGGGGAAAAAAAACACTCAAACATTGCTAATTTAATCATATATTGATAAAAACATTTTTTTGTTTTTTTTTAGAGAGACTTTTGCTATATGGCATGTGCGTTCTCGCCAAAGAGACAGAGACATAAAGTGAGATGATCTTCTTACAATGATGATCTTTATTAACTATTATATTACATTCCCAGGGCAGTTCCCGCAGTCCCCTCTCCTCCAGTCTCCTCTCAGGATTTTGGGCATGCACGCACATGCGCCTGGCATGAATTTTAAGCCACAGGGCCCAGGACTCTGAACTATAGTTGACTATGTAGTAGTCCAGCGACGTAACCATTACACCATCTGCAGATCCCAATAAAACTTTTTTTTTTTTTTTTGGAGAGGTTTTTGCTATAGGACGCGTGCCTTGCCAGACAGACAGAGAGAGAGATAGAAAGCGAGAAATCACTCCACAGGGGGGATGGCCACGCCTCAATCCCTTCTCCTCCATTCTCCTCTTGGGATCTTGGGCACTCACGCACACGCACCCGGCATGAGTTTTAAGCCACCGGGGCCGGGACGTGAACCACAGTCAACTACATGGGAGTCCAGGACATAGCCATTACGCTAACTGCTGGTCCCCCAATAAAACTTTTTTAACGGGCTGTCTGCATATTGAATTTTAACCTAGAAATAATGAATTAAATATAACAAAATAAGTGTTGGCAGATTTCTAATGTTTCAGTAAAAGGTGAGGGAAATCCTAGAAAGCCAAAATGAAGACAATGGGTTATACTTTGCTAGTTCTTTGTATACTAAGTAAATTTTTTTGTATTCCAGATGTTGTGAATGTTATAGAAACCCTGGACTCTGTTGTATTTTAAGTGTGCTGAATTTTGTTTGTTCTTAACGTGTTTGAATATATACTACAACTCATCTCTTGGGGGCAAAAACTCAAATCTCAGTTGGATTATTTTATCTTAGTTGGAGTCTGTCCCATGCATTTATTGGGTTCCCTCTTTCTGATTTTCTCCTTTCCAGGATTCTCTCCTTATTTTTCAGAAGCTATGGTTGCTCCAAATTATGTCTTCTGATTTCCAGAGTCAGGAAGATTATGGATTTTCCATTGCAGCTTTAGCCTTGCTGAACAGAGATGATTTCAGCCTACTCTAATAAAAAGCCATAAAAATGAGTAGCTACCCTCTCCCATTCCTTTTAAATTTTGTCTAGAGTTTATAGTTGTTATCTATAGGAGGGATAGGTTGGGTGGGAGCTTCTTTAGCCATACCAAATACAGACTTTATTAGTTTCTTGATAATGGAGTAAACTAAGGAATAGAGAACTGTGGCATAACATATGGATTTATACTTTATTACCTACTATGTTTGATTGCTCAATTTTTATATGAATCAATATTTTGCTTTCTTTAAAACAAACTTACAGCTGATTGGTCGGGGTCGATATGGAGCAGTATATAAAGGTTCCTTGGATGAACGTCCAGTTGCTGTGAAAGTGTTTTCCTTTGCAAACCGTCAGAATTTTATCAACGAGAAGAACATTTACCGAGTGCCTTTGATGGAACATGACAATATTGCTCGCTTTATAGTTGGAGATGAAAGGGTCACTGCAGATGGACGCATGGAGTATTTACTTGTCATGGAATATTATCCCAATGTAAGTTCTTCATGAAAAATAAACTGACATTCGTGTTAGCTATCAGTCAGACTTTCAGGGGGACCCCTGTAATCATAACATTGCTAATTCATAAAGTGGTTATTATTGGTCTACCACAACAGAATGATGTCTGACATCAACTACGTCATTGACTATACTGTTCATACAACTCCCCTCTTTCTCTTTTTCTTTTCTTTTTTTTTTTTTTGGTTTAACATTCTTGATGAAGGAAGCAACGCTTTGATTGATATCCATTTTGGTGCAGGCCCCTTATCTCATCAGAGACTAGTAATAGCTTGTGGATAAGCAGTTTGAGTAGAACTGATTTAATATATTAGGTTGCCAGGAAAGTCATGATGCATTTTTGCATAGAAAGACATAGAAAAATACGTCATGACTTTCCCAACAACTTAATATATTTACAAAAATTTTCTTTCTGCTTTCTACTTATGAAACATAACAATACAATTTGTATTTGTACTGGTAAAAGTTATATTTTTTCTATATTAATTTTTTTTCTATTTTCAAAAATGCATTTAAGGAACCAGCATATAGCGTAATGGTTATGTATGTCACTGGACTCTGACGTAGTCTGCCACAGTTTGAGTCCCAGACCCAGCAGCTTAAAACCCATTCTGGGCTGGGACCAGCAGTTAGTGTAATGGCTATGTTGCTGGACTCCCATGTAGTCGACCGTGGTTCGCGTCCCAGACCCAGTGGCTTAAAACTCACGCTGGGCGCATGTGCGTGCGTGCCCAAGATCCCGAGAGGAGAATGGAGGAGAAGGGATTGCAGCATGGCCATACCCCCGGGGGGTGATTTCTTGCTTTCTGTCTCTCTTTCTCTCTCTCTCTGTCTGGTGAATGCACGTGCCCTATAACAAAAACCTCCCCCCCCAAAAAAAAAAAATCATTCTGGGCTCATGTGCATGCATGCCTACAATCCTGAGAGGAGAATGGAGGAGAAAGGATTGCAGCATGGCCATCCCCCATTGGGGAGGGGTGATTTCTCGCCCTTTGTCTCTGTCTCTCTGGAAGTGCACACACCCTATAGCAAAGATCTCTCTTTCAAAAAACTAAAAAGCATTTAAAAGGAAATAACTATAATTTTTAATATGGGGAACATAAAATTAATTAATTCTCCTTTCCTTTCCTAGTCTCTGTACAGAATGTCTTATTAACTCTTTCAGGGTCTTCGTAGACTTGTAACTTATGCAGTTCTTTTATAAGGTTGCTAATTTACCTGTTCATGTTAAAGTAAGTTAATTCTACTTTTTTCGGGGCATTTTTTCCCTTTCATAGGGATCTCTGTGCAAATATTTGAGTCTCCATACAAGTGATTGGGTAAGCTCTTGCCGTCTGGCTCATTCTGTGACAAGAGGATTGGCTTATCTTCACACAGAATTACCACGAGGAGGTAAGACAGTAGATAAATGAGACATGTTGGTTCAAAATTCACAAAAGAAAATTTTAATTATATCTTCAACATAAAAGTATAATTTCTATATCAGCTATTTACTATAATAGCCATTGTTTGAAAGATTCAACAGGAGAAAACGTATTTGAAATGTAACAGGAAGAACAGTAAGAAAGAACCTCAACACTCTAGAGAGGTCATGGAACTCATTAAAAATGTAATCAAAGTTCTGAACACTCTTACTCCAAAAATACACATATGGACATAATTAGAAGATGTTCTTTTGATTCTAGGGGGTTCTCAGAACATTGAAGTCCACTAATAGACATTAAGTAAAGAACCTGTTAGCTATTATATTTTCTTTGCATTTTTTCTTTTCTTCTTCTTCTTTTTTTTTTAATGAACATAATGCATTATTATTTCCTGAGTTTTAACATCACATGGATCTTTATTCCATGGTTGCTGTTCAGCATAAAACTCAAATGTATCTTTTTATAAATCATTGCTTCCTTAGCTAGAATTAGATCTGGCCAAATCTATCAGGAGGGTAAAAAAATAAGTGGCTTGAATATAAAAGAAGTTTCTAGAGAGAGACAGTCCAGGATTGGCTTGGAAGTACTATATGGTATTGTCAGACCCCACAGCACTTAGGTTTCTTCTCCACCATCCTTATACGTGGCTTTTATTTTCAAAGTCACCTCATTGTCTATCATGCTGTTCTAGTAAGCAGGAAAAAAGGAAGGGAATGTAAAAGGAATTGCCCCCTTCTATCTCCCAGACTCCACTCTTTTCCTTATGTTTTATTTCCCAGAGGTTAGCTCACAAAGGGGCTGGAAATGCAGTTTGGTTGCTTCAAATAATATTGGGTTCTGTTACTAAGTAGAAAAGGGAGACTGCGTGGTAGAGAGCCAGTGTTTGCCATTGTTTCAGAACTGTGTAATTGTATTCCTTGTCATAACTACAGTCTTCCTCGGCTTTCATGCACATTTTTGCCAGTTGTTCAAACATCTCCTTAATTCATTTGCTTTTTTTATCACGTTTTTTCCCAGTATACTTCAAATCACCGGCATCCCTAAATTAGCTTTGTTGTGATAATTGTCTTTGTGCTTCCTTCACTTTCATCCCTTACCACATTTTCTTGTCATATTGTAGCTCTGACATTGTTTTTTTCAGTCTCTCTGACCTCTTTAGTGAAGAGAACATTAATGTATCAGTTTCTTAGATCTTTGTTCCATTGTATAATAGCATGGATCATCTTTTCTAGCTGACACTTCATATATAAATAATTTCTTCTGAATAATTTATAAGTTCATTTATCTTGACATCTTGCTTTTCCTGCATACGGAATTGACCAGTGTCAGCAACTTGATGTACTTGCTTTAGTGCTTTAGCACATTAACCATTGGACTGTGTCCCCTTACTCTTAAATATTATGCTTCTTTAAAAAGCTTACTTAGCACAGAACTTAAAATACCATCCTATTCCCCTTTTTCATGGTTTGCATGATTGAGCAGGGTTTTAAGTCAAGTGGTTGAAAAGAGTGATTGCCATCAGGTATAAGTTTTATTTAAACAGAGTTATTACTACTTTCAAAGAATAGTGAATATTATCACTAGTTACTTTTTTTTAAAAAGGAAAGGATTATTTAATTTTATTTATTCATTTATTTACTTTAATTTGACCAGAGAGAGGGGAGAAGTGAGAAAGGAAGCCACCAGATCTGGGACTCAAACCGTGGCTGGCCATGTGAGAGAGTCCAGCGCCTTTACCACCATGCCATTTACTGGTCTCGATAGTTACCTTTTTAAAACTGAGTATATAGGGACCAGCAGATTGTGTAATGGTTACATTGTTGTACTCCCATGTGGTCAATCGCAGTTCAAGTCCCAGACTTGGCGGCTTAAAACTCAGGCCGGGCGCATGTGCGTGTGTGCCCAAAATCCTGAGAGGAGAATGGAGGAGAGGGGATTGCAGCGTGACCACTCCCCCTGGGGGATGATTTCTTGCTTTCTGTCTCCCTGTCTCTCCAGTGAGTGCACATGCCCTATAGCATAATTCTCTCTCAGGGATGGCAGGTGGCGTGGTAGTCAATGGTGGTGGATTCCCACTTGGTCAACCATGGTTCAAGTTCCAGACCTGGTAGCTTTCTCTTTCTCTCTTTCTGTCCCTCTCTGGTCAAAATTAAAATAAATAAAATAAAATAAATAAATAAAATCTATTTTTCAAAATCTTTCCCAAAAAAGTGAGTATGTAAATGCTATTGCATATAAGTACTGTACTAGTTATTTCAATTTATGGTTTTGTCTAATTATTTAAAAAACATTCCCAAGTATATTGTGATATTTTAAACATTTAACGTATACTTTCAGAGAATTTGGTTCTTCCCAGTATCTTCAGATGCAACTGTCATTTGGAGTAGAAAGTTGGTAGTAAGGGATGACTCTCTTACTATTATTGAGTTGTTTGTTGCTTCAGAATAAGGAATTGGAGCTATTTTAAATAGTTGAATCTGTGTAATAGTTGAATCTATACAACAGTTATCCCTAAGAATATTTTTTGTAGTGATAATAGCAATACATGCTTATTATCAAAGAAAAACCTGATTAAAACAAATAGCTCTCTCAAAACTTCACAAGAAAACTTACATTAAGTAATTTATATATATATATATATATATATATATATCTATATATATGTGTGTGTTTATCAACATAGAGACTTTTTTGTTCAGGTTTTTCAAAATGTAATTTTAAAATATCTTTCCTTTGAGACACTTGCCTAGGAAGTGCTCTGCCCAGGGCAAATCATTGTGTGTTCAGCCCTCACCTGCCCCCTCCCAACATAAATACCCAAACAAAAAAAGATTAAAGGAATACTGATGGGAATTTCACAGGGAAAAATCACCTCAAAAGCATTCTAATTCCACCCTTTGCATCAATGATGAATCCTGTCTTGTCTTTTTTCTCTTTTCTTCTCTCTCCCTCACTCCTCCTTTTCTTTTTCTATGTTTCCCTTTTTTTTCCCCCTTTTCTTTTTTTTTTTTTTCCTTTTGCTTTTTAGTATAGTGAGAAGAATACTACCTTATTTTCTGTCTAGCTGCCTCACGGATTCATTGCCCATTCTCCCCATCATTAGTCTAGTTAGTACTAAAGTATGAGAAATTTTAGTTTACATATAGAGTTTGTATTAGTATACAAACATTTTCTAATACATGCACATTTTACTGTGTAAATATGTCAGCTCAAGACTATACCACATGTAGTTTATTCTGGTTATATCCAGAGTAAGAAATGCAGCTCTAACAGGATTTGTATAGAAGTCAAAGTTAATGTAAGCTGGGGCCAGCAGGTGGAGTGGTGAAGTGCCAGACTTTCACATGGCCACCTGCAGTTCGAATCTTGGACATGGCAGCTTGCTTTCTCACCCCCCAACCTGTCTCTCTGCCTCTCTGTGGTCAAATTAAAAAATAATAATAAAGACAGTGAAATAAAATAATTCTTTTAAAAAACTTTTCAAAGTTAATATAAGCTTCAAAAGATTGGAATAGGTTGGTGGGTAAAGGATAAAAGTGAGAAAGAGATCAACTGTTAGATCAAGAAACTTGGTACCTCCTACTTTTTCCTTTAAATTATACTACTGTTTTGTTTATTTATTGCCAGAGGCTTGTGCACTTAGAGAGAAAGAGAACCCACCCCCCAATGGAACATGGTCACAATCCTTTCCCCTTGTTTATTCATCTCATTAGGATTTGGACCTGCACACACATGTTTTTTGGCACCTGGGCCAAGATTAGAATCCTAGTTGACCATGTGTAATCCAGCTTCCTTTGGGTAGTGCTTAACCACTGTGCTGCAGGGTGGCTCTGCTTTATTTTTTTATATAGAGGAATCATTAACCTCTGTCTACAGTTTTGTTGGTGGTGCAATTGTATTTGAGTGCTCGTAAGAGTAATACTGTACATCTAAATAATGAAACTGTTGTGCCTAAATACAAATGAATAAACTTATTGCTTTGCTTTGATTGCTCTATTTCTTTGTATACCTTGAGTTTTTTTTCTCTTTTTTTCCTTTTTTTAGAGGTTTATGCTGTAGGGCACATGCACTTGCCAGAAAGACAGAGAGACAGAAAGCGAGAAATCACCTCCCAGGGGGGTTGGCCATGCCACAATCCCTTCTCCATTCTCCTCTTGGGATCTTAAGCATGCATACACACGCGCCTGGCATGAGTTTAAGCCACCGGGTCCAGGTCTTGAACCGCGGTCGACTCCATGGGAGTCCAGCGATATAGCCATTAAGCCATCTGCTGGGCCCTACCTTGAGAGATTTTAAATTTCAGGAGTTGTGCTATAAACTTTTTGTTGTCATTTTCAGAACTATGACTTTATTTAATGTAAGGTTTATATAAGGTTTCCTTATAGAGAAGAAGAATGTAATGTTTTTGATGGGGGGCTTAGGTTAGATTCTATTAGTAAGCAAGCATTTATTGTGTGCTCTATGCTAAGCCTTTAAAATTTAGATGAAACAGGGACCAGCAGTTGCCATGGTGGTTAAGGTGCTGGACTCCCACATGGCCAACAGTAGTTTGAGTCCCATACCCAGCAACTTGAAACTCATGCTGGGTGTGTGTATGTCTATGGTTAAAATCCCGAAAGGGGAATGGAGGAGAGGGGGTTGAGGGGAGGGTATTGCGGCATGGCCATCCTCCCCAGGAGGTGATTTCTTGCTTTCTCTCTGTGTCTCTCATGAGTCCAGGAGCACATGCACCCTACAGCAAAAATCTCTCAAAAGGAAAAAATCAGGTTAAACACATTCCCTTTCTGACTTCACAGAACCTATAGTCTAGTGATAAGGCTAGACAAGTAATAGAGTAAGTACAACACTACCTTGCTTCTATAAAATAAAAAGACAGGCTTTCATATCTTGCTGTGCGACACCAGCACCTTCACTTATTCTCCCAATCTAATGTAAAACTATTTCTAGTTAGATTTGAAGAGCAGAAGTGGGCTTAGAAAGGTGGCTGAACTTCAGAGCATAACTGAGATGTGTTGTCACATGTGATCTGTGAAGCCATAGGACAACAGTGTAGATTTATATAAAAATTTAGAGCCACTTTAGTTTCTATTCACTGATGCTTATTGTAAACAGCTAGCCTTGTGTGCATGTGTGTGTGTGTGTGTGTGTGTGTGTGTGTGTGTGTGTAGGTGTTTATACCAAGTATTCCTTTGTGCTTTGCCTCCTTTTGCTGTCTGAGAAAGGAAGAGAATGGGACCAGCAGTTGGTGTAATGGCTGTGTCGCTGGACTCCCATGTAGTCAACCATAGTTTGAGTCCCGGACCTCTAGTGGCTTAAACTCACACTGGGCACATGGGCATGCATACCCAAGATCCCAAGAGGAGAATGGAGGAGAAGGGATTGCGGCGTGGCCATCCCCCCTGGGGGGTGATTTCTAGCTTTCTGTCTCTCTCTCTCTCTGTCTTTCTGGCAAGCGCACGCACCCTATAGCAACCCCCCCCAAAAAAAAAGAAAGAAAGAGAATAAGTATGTGATAGAATTAAAGGCAACAGCATTTTGGCTTTTAGTTTCAGTTGAATGTTTAATGTCTAATTAACAATACATGCAACAAGAGTTCCAGTATCAAATATATTGGACAATAGTGGTGAACAAGTGGGAATTTTGATGTCTTATGTCCTTTTTTATGGACAGAAAAATAACAATATCTCTTATAGTCATGTCGGTCCTATTTCCTGCATGTTAATTTCATGTTCAATAGTATCATTTAAGCTTTAATAAATATTTGAAATTATCCTCAAACAGATCATTACAAACCTGCAATTTCCCATCGAGATTTAAACAGCAGAAATGTCCTGGTGAAAAATGATGGAACCTGTGTAATTAGTGACTTTGGGTTGTCCATGAGACTGACTGGAAATCGACTGGTGCGTCCAGGGGAGGAAGATAATGCAGCCATAAGTGAGGTAAGAATATACAAAAGGCATCACACCAACTTACCTCGAAATTCTAATGAATTGCATTAAAAGATCCACAACTTAGTGTCATTATCCTTATATACTGCTAGCGATAGGATATTAGGAATTGAAAATGCAGAAATAGAAAAGACATTGTATAAAGGTCTTTGCAAAGGTCATCAGTTTGTTTTGGAAACCATTGTCATTTCCACTTTTTTTTTTTTTTAAGTTTCTTTATTTAATCAGAGAGTACATGAGAGAGAGAAAGAGACAAGCATTCTCAATGGAGTCTCATTTTTCCCTAGCCCTCCAGCTTCTGAGGATCTTGGAGCCACACACCCAGAGCATTTCAGGTTGAATTGGGATTGAAACCCACAGTCAGCCATGTGGCACCCAGCACTGCAGATCAGTACACTACAGCCTGTACCCACTCATTTTTACAAGTGTTAGGAGGAAGTTCGCAGGAACTGATTTGTTTTTGTTTTTTAGAGGTCTTTGCTATAGGTGCGTGTGCGCTCGCCAGAAAGACAGAGAGAGACAAAGAGATAGAAAGCGAAAAATCACCCCCCAGTGGAGATGTCCATACTACAATCCCTTCTTCTCCATTCTCCTCTCAGGATCTTGGGCATGCACGCACACGCACCCGGCGTGAGTTTAAGCCACCGGGTCTGGGACTTGAACTGTGGTCAGCAACGTGGGAGTTCAGTGACATAGCCATTACGCTAACTGCTGGTCCCAGGAACTGATTTTTGAAAGAGGAGTTACCAATTTTGAGATAAGACAGTTAATTTCTGGTATTGAATGTGTAACATATCCTTCCTGACCTTTTCTTTGTGTGTGTGTGTGTGTATATATATATTTGGAAATATATATATTTGGAATTTTTGGAAATATTAAATGGTACACATATTGTTTTGCAATTTTCTCATTTTATGTCTTACAGATTTTTAATGTTGATATACATAGAAAGGTCTAGCTCCTTTTTGATTGGTGAATAGTATTCACTAAAATTGACTTAATTATTTATGAAGGTCATTATATAGATAAAAATAAGATATAGAAAGGTTCAGTGGCATGCTTAGGATCAAATAGAATGTTAACATGATTAAAATTTACATGTAACTTCTGGTCTAATGTCTCCCCTTTAGAATATGTTACATTCTGTTTCTGAAAAAAATCACTCTAATTTATCAGGTTGGCACAATCAGATATATGGCACCAGAAGTGCTAGAAGGAGCTGTGAACCTGAGGGATTGTGAATCTGCTTTGAAACAAGTAGACATGTATGCACTTGGACTAATTTATTGGGAGATCTTTATGAGATGTACAGACCTCTTCCCAGGTAAGAATTGCTGGCAAAAATTGATCTGTGTGAAGTGGAGGCATTTATGTCTTCTCTACTAAGTAACTCAATTTTTACTTAAGAATCTTTTTACTTTCATGTAAACATACAGTTTATTGCCATCTAGTGTTCAGAAACATTATTAATAGAAGATGACTTAGGTTTTTTTTTTAAAAGGTCTCCAAGTTTTTACCTGAGCTCAATTTAATTAATTGGCAATACAAGTCAAGCATCTCTAATGTGGAAATTCCAAATCCAAAATTCTCCAAAATCTAGAATTTTTTGAGCACTGATACGACTCCACACTGGAAAATTCCATGCTAAATTAATGTGGCTCAAAGAACTGTAATACAACAATATTATATATAATTATCTTCAGTATATGAAACAAATGAATTTCATGTTCCATCCCCTGAAACAGCTCATTTACATATACACGCAAATATTCAAAAATCCAAAAAAAATGAACTCCAAAATGTTTCTTGTCCCAAGCATTTCGGATAAGGGATACTCAGTCTGTAATAGTTTGTCCAAGGTTAGTTTGGTCTGTGCCTTGGCCGTCGTCATTTCCTTATGTACTCTTAAGCAACTGAAAAAGCTGTATTATCATGTTTTTGATTAGAACCAATGAATTATTTGTAAATGTGGGTTTTTAAAATATATACCTTTCTTTTATTCTTTTTCTTTCTTCTTTATTCCTTTGTCTTTTCCTCCTTTTCTTTTCCCATTTCTTCTTCCCTCCCTCTCTTTCACTCTTTTCCTCTCAATGAAAGAATATTCATTTAATATGAATACTTGTTTGAGGCTTATTAGAAATAGTCTAACATACAGAATGAATTTTCTCTCCTTGTTAGAATTACATCACCATTATTATTACTAATAATACATCATAATAGTTTTAATTTATCATGTTTAAACTTTTTTTTGAGAGAGATTTTTGCTATAGGGTATGTGTGCTCACTGAAGAGAAAGACAGAAAGTGAGAAATCATCCCCCCATGGTGGATTGCCACACTGCAGTCCCTTCTCCTCCATTGTCCCCTCAGGATTTAGGGCACTCACGTACATGAACCTGGCATGAATTTTAAGCCCCTGGATCCAGGACTCAGACCATGGTCAACTATATGGGAGTCTAGCGATGTAACCATTCCCCCCATCTGCTGGTCCCTCATATTTAAATCTTAACTACCAAACTCTTCATTTTTCTAGATCCTGTACAGAATGATTTGATGATATGCAATTTCTGTCTTACAGGAATAATATGTTTAAAAGCATAGACTAAGTACCAGTATTAGATAAATTTATGAAATAGAACTATTTAATAAAAACAGATTAGTAATGGGATTGAATTGTTTTGCTTTAAAGAAATTAAGCATTAACTACTAGTTTATAATTCTAAAATTAATGAAATAAGTTAATCATTACTTAGATTAACTACTGGTCAGTCAGTTATTATTTAGAAGTATTTTTCTTTTTTTAAAGAATTATTTATTTAATTTTTGTTTTGTTTACTATTATAATTATTTTTTAATTTGTTGTAGGGTACGTGTGCTCGCCAAAGAGAGATACAAAGAGAGAAAGAGAGCAAGCTGCCTGATCTGGGACTTGAACCACAGTTAGCCATGTTAGGAGTCCAACACCTTTACTGCCACACTACCTGATGACCCCTAGAAGTATATATCCAATTTAATTAGACATACAGAGACTCAAACTGAGGTATTTTTCTGAAAATAGTAATTGCAATAGTATTATCACAAGTATTCAGTTATTAGAACTTTGGCCACAGTTCGTTTTTGTTTTTGTTCTGTTTTTTTTGTTTGTTTGTTTTTTGGTTTTTTGTTTTTTTTTTTTGTATTCTAAACCAAGGTTTTTGTTTTAGAGACATGTCTGACTGAAATGATTTCTTAAGACAGATTTTTTGCTATAGGGCATATGCCCTTGCTGGAGAGATAGAGACAGACTAGAAAGCGAGAAATCACCCACTCGGGGGATGGCCACGCCACAGTTCCTTCCCCTCATTTCTCCTTTAGGGATCTCAGGCATGCATGCACACCCCTCGTCATGAGTTTTAAGCCACTGGGTCCAGAACTCGAACCACAGTCGATTACATGGGAGTCCAGCAATGAAACCATTATGCCATCTGCTGGTTCCTAAAATGAATTTTTTGATCAGTGTTAGTCCATTGCCACCAGCAACTATTTTAAAAAATAACTGCATTCAAAGAATGACTATTGCTTTTAATCGGATAAATAATAAAAAACAATCTCCAAATATTTAACAGGGAAAGACAGTTAAATCTTAATTGCAGAAGATTATTATTATTACTTTTTCTTTTTTTTGAGAGGTACTTAACTATAGGGCGCATGCCCTCGCCAGAAAGAGAGAGATAGAGAGACAGGAAGCGAGAAATCACCCCCCAGGGGGGATGGCCACTCCGCAATCCCTTCTCCATTCTCCTCTTGGGATCTTGGGCACGCATGTACACATGCCTGGTGTGAGTTTAAGCCACCGGGTCCAGGACTCAAACCGCGATCGGCTACATGGGAGTCCAGCGACATAGCCATTATGCTAACTGCTGGTCCCGCAGAATTATTATTTTTGTTATTATTTTTATGTAGGGTGAATTAAAATAGAAAAAGAACTACAAGGGTTTTTAAAAAGGAACAAAAAATGAGTAATTTTTAAAGAGTATAGAGTTTCAATTTGGGAAGATGGAAAAAGTTTTGGAGATGGGTGATGATAGTGGTTGCACAGCAGTCTGCTCTACTCAGTGTCACAGAACTGTACACTTAAAAATGGTCGGTGTGGTAAATTTTATGTTAGATATCTTCCACAATTAAAAAAAAGGAATAAGAAGAGAGCTACATTAGGATATCCTGTAAGGCCAGTTCTGTGGCACAGCAGTAATGCACTGCTCAAGAAAATCCAGATTCCATGTGGTGACTGTGGTTCAAATCTGGACCCCATCAGCCCAAAACATGCTGCGCGTGTACGTGAGTGTCCAGGATCTACATTGACTATAAGACCGAAAGGAAGGGGATAGCCATGTTACCAGACCTTGTGGAGGATGCTCACTTCTTTCTCTTCTCATGTGCATACCCTCTGTAATGATTAAAGCAAAAAAGGATATCCCATGCTCTTGATACGGAAATGGAGAAGGAGAAGCACATTTGAGAGGAAATGTAAAGAAGGAATCCATGGTTCTGGTTAGCTATTAGGAGAATGGGAGTCAAAGGAACTGAGAAATATTCATAGATCGGAGAAATAGGGTGGCAACCAGAAACTTAGAAAGAAATACTTGTTGGGACCAGCAGTTAGCGTAATGGCCATGTCGCTGGATTCCCATGTAGTTGACTGCGGTTTGCGTCCCGGACCTGGTGGCTTAAACCTCACGCCAGGCACATGTGCGTGCGTGCTCAAGATCCCGAGAAGAGAATGGAGGAGAAGGGGTTGCGGTGTGGCCATCCCCCCTGGAGGGGTGATTTCTTGCTTTCTGTTTCTCTGTCTCTGTCTGTCTGGCTGGCGAGTGCACGCGCCCTATAGCAAAAACCTCTCCAAAAAAAAGAAAAATACTTGTTTACATTGGAAAAATGAGTTAATTATAGAAACTATAGGAGGGGGTGCTAATAGACAACTGAAGAACTGTTTTAGACAGTTTAAAAGAATATAAAGATATTAGCAAATAAGATTAAAATGGTTATTTATTTAGGAGTTGTCAGACAGAAAGAGAGAACTCATGAATTGATAAACTACCCTAACCTAAAACATGAAATTAGAAAAAACAGTGATTAAAGATTGACTTTTGGGGCATTCTTCCCACCAAGTAGGTTAATTAAGAAGACTAATGAGGGACCAGGTTGTGACTCAGTGGTGGTCCAACTGTTTTCACATGTTAGTAGATGGTCTAACCTACTCACAAAAGGGTTCTGGGTTCATATCCTGGGACATCCCTGAGTGCCAGATGCACATGTGCATGACCCAAAATGGAGGAGACTATAGGTCACAGGGTGGGTACCCTGTTGGGGGTGCCTTTCTCTCACACACATACACTCTTATGGAAGAAATTAATAAATACCAACATTTTAAAAAAGAAGACAAATGGGGAACAAGCAGGTGGCATGGTGGCTAAGGGCGCTGGACTCCCACATGGCCAACTGTAGTTTGAGTCCCAGACCTGGAGGGTTGTCTTCTTACTTTATCTCTCTCTCTCTTCCCCTCTCTGGTCAAATTAAAATAAATGAATGAGTGAATAAGTGAATAAACAAATGAATTTAAATAAAATAATTTTTAAAAAGACAATCAGAAAAAATAGTAGGAAAACTGAAAAATCACAGTGTTTTGGAAGCCAGTATTAGAAAGCTTTAAGAACCAAGATTGATGGCAGTAAATGTAACTGAAAGGTCAAGAGGTAATAAACTGAGGAATGATCTTTGGCTATGAATACGAAAAGGTTATTGGTATAAAGAAGACAAATCCTAATAACCTAAGGTATAAGAGGGTATACTATGTTAAGAAAACATAGTCAAGGAACTCAGGGTACTCTTGACATTTTTAACGATGAAATGAGGTGGAAGTTGAAAAGAAATAATAAACCTAGGTCCAGCTGTAGTGGCTTACTCTGTTAAAATGCTGTTCTTCCCCAAGCTGGGACTACATATGCAGCTTAGATTTATTCCTGTCCAACCTAAAGTCTGGTTGTGGTGGCATGGGCCTGTAATCCCTCTGACTCCTAGAAGCTGAATCAGGAGGACTGTGAGCTTCAGGCTAATCTAGGCAACATCTCAGCAAGACCCTGGCTAAAAAAGAGTTTGGCATGGTGGCTAGGTGATACATACCTGTAGTTTCAGCTAGGAGGCTGAAGTAGGATAGTGACATGCCAAGAACTGTCTTTAAAAAATAAACACACACACACAAACACAGCTAGGGAATAGCTTATAGTAATTATAAAATTCTTATCAATGTTAACGACATGCCTCAAAATGCAGTACATACTTTATTAGTAAATGGAAACTATGTAGTTAAGACTGCCACTATAAAATATTATTATTATTATTATTTTGGAGAGGTTTTTGCTATAGGGTGCATGCGCTTGCCAGAAAGAGAGACAGAAAGATAGAAAGCGAGAAATCACCACCACCATCACCCCCCCCCCGGGGGAATGGCCACGCCGCATTCTCCTCTTGGGTTCTTAGGCATGCACTCATGCACGTACGCACATGCGCCCGGTGTGAGTTTAAGCCACCAGGTCCGGGACTCAAACCGCAGTCGGCTATATGGGAGTTCAGTGACATAGCCATTACGCTAACTGCTGGTCCCTATAAAATATTATTAAAATAAATGAATCGCATATTTATATGAAAAAGAAAGTGAAATACTGCAATGTTTAAGAGGTAAGGAAGGAAAAATAAAAGGAGTCTAGAGAGAGGAGCCAATAGGTGGCATGGCGGTTAAAGTACTAGATTCCCACATGGCCAATCACTATTCAACCCCTGGACCTGGCAGCTTGAAAATCATGCCAGGCACGTGCACACATTTGTGTGTGTGTGTGCCCAAAAATCCTGAGAAGGGAATAGAGAAGGGACAAGCAGTTAGCATAATGACTTGTCACTGAACTGCCATGTAGTCAACTGTGGTTCGAGTCCCGGACCTGGTGTCTTCAAATCATGTCGGGCATGTGTGCATGCGTGCCCAAGATTGCAAGAGGAGAATGGAGGAGAAGGGACTGCGGTATGGCCAACCCCTTGGGGGGTGATTTCTCACTTTCTGTCTCTCTGTCTCTCTCTGTCTTTCTGGCAAGCG